GACACAGCATCAAGAAACTAATTCTAAAACAAGTGTACCATCTACTAAAAACAATAAGAGGCGGTAATGTCAAATCAACAGTAATTGTAAAAAAAATAAAATATGTGAAAACTGCATTATCTCTAAAAAACCTGTTTGTGGAAAATGTAGAAAAAAGTTTCAAAACTATTAGATACTTGCTACAAATGTTACTCAATTTAATGCAAATACATTTTATGATTTTATTTTATTTTAATGCAAAATATGCAATAATTTCATAAGTATTCTGACTTAATCTCTAGTACCGTCAAATTGACCGCTGCGGTCTTTGAAGGTATAGCATGAAGCCTGGCCCTTCTAGTGTTAAATTGAAAACTAGGTCGTGACATGGATAGTAAAAAGAAGTGTGTGTTTCTGTTATTGCTTAGGAGATATAGGAAACCGTAACAAAGAAGATTTTGGAAAGATAAGATTTTGATGCGATGCAAATGAATTCGCAAGTTATTGCGATGCGTAGGAGGAACTCGCACATTCGCATCGCAGTTTTGTGTACTAGCCCAAAGTGCTTATTAAAGTTCATTCTTGTAAGATCCTACCGACTCGCTCTTTTTATATTATGAGTTTACAACTTTTGACTTAGACAAATAAGTCCATCATCTTACTTATATTAGTGTAAATCAATACCTACCCGTTAGTAAACATCAATCAGAAACAAACAAGCGCTTCAACTTCTTAAATTAGTACAAACGAATCAATACTTAGTCAGTAAACATCTACAACTCAACACTCGACATCAGAATGTAAACAAAACAAAACAATCTGACAAATAACAAAGCGAATGGCCGTAACGATTTTATTAAATTCCCGTGTACATTACAATAGGTAACGTAATCCGGATTCACCCGCGGCTTTGCCTCAAATCCCCGCCATTGCAACCTCCAATTACTTAGGCAAACGCCTTGAGATGCTTAATTACAGCTATCCTTTCGTATTTAAATTTAACTTTGCATTAATGTTCGTGGAATATGAAAGAGAAAAGATGGCGGCTTTTGTTTAGTTGGTTAGTTGCTCTGTAATCATATTTGTTTTAGTATCTAGCTGAAGTTTTATTTGCTGACGATATGTTTCTGTTCGGAAAATGTATGGAAGATACTGCTAATTCAAAGGGTGTAGGAAATCATTGACTTGAGAGGTCAATGTTAATGTTCGTTTCGGCAAATAGGTTTTCAGGGCTCCTGCTTTCATCATCATCATCATCATCATCATCATAAACCCGTGTTCGTCCACTGCTGGACATAGGCTTCTCCAATGGCACGTCACTGAGTTCGGTCTTCAGTTCTTCTCATCCAACCACAGATAGCCCCCTTGCAGATATCGTGACGACATCCTGCTCTCCCAGTACAAAAAAATATTAAAATCTTAACGTTAGGGGCATAGAATCATATATAACAAGACCACTTTCAATACTATAATTATCGATTGCTTGTATCGTTTCTCAAAAGTCAATTGAAATAGAATTACTAATCTCTAAATCACCTTCTCAAAAACAAATTTAAAAGAAAATCCATACCAAAAAAGCAATTCACATTATTAAATCTCGCCACCTTTCTACTATATTGTACTTTAATATCTCCGGACTAAAGAAAAAGTACTAAGCTCACTTAAATCAAAAGGAGCAGCTGTATATCTATACAGAGTGTATAAGACGAAGATATTTCTTTGTGGGTAACGCCACGTCAGCAATACGACTGTATCTTCTTTGGTAATTACTCGGCAACTCGCCCCAGGGATGTCTGTACTGAGAACGAAGTATTATGAGAAATGGATGCGGTATTTTGAATGAGGTGTATTTATTTCCTATGATATCTTACGATATACAGATAATAAGAGATATGTTCTATGGTGTTGGGCTATCTATTCTTCTGTATAGCATACGCATATCTTCTGCCACCGGTTTTTGTTGCCTTTTACACAATGATTCGTTTCTTAAGTTGGTTGTTTAATAATCTACAGAATTTACTTACTGATTTTATTTTTAGCAGCAGACATTAAGGGCATCAATATTCTTATGTCTATTCAAAATCTTAGAATACTGTCAATGTATCATTACGTCACGATATTACATCTATTTCCAACGTTCTCATAGGCATTAAAATTTCGTCGATTAATGTTCGCCACCCGCGCTTGGTAACACGATACCTCCCCGACTCATGCTACTCGTCCTAACAAATCAAAATAAGCCACGTTCACATCCATACTCTCATTCTTTCTTCGTAGAATATCACCAGTTAATAAAGGCAACTAATGAAGGGCTTTCTTTTAGCTACCGTCTTTACTTTGCGTTCCGATGCAACGCCCCAGGGACTAATGTTGCCAACATTTGACTTTGAAGAATTAATATAGCGCTTTCTGTAATGTATTGCCAATTTATTGGTTAAAAGAAGAATGGAGTCCTAATGTGATGTATCGCAAGGTGGAGTGTAATGGAAATGAATAATGATGCATTGTGATCGAGTAGCGCATCAGTAATTTCATAATAGTGGCGTCGTATGAAAACTCATTCTAGATAATATTGTTTTACTTGTCAATGTATAGAAAACAGAACTTTTATAGATGTTCACATTCAAATATTAACTGGATTTGAGTTGAATTTAAAATTGGAAAAACACATAAAACTATCTATCACAGAAGATCTAAAACTAACACAAAACTACAGCCGGTACCTATAATAAAGGAAACAATTTTCTCCTTCCTAATAATGCGCAAAGAAAACACAATTTCAAGGCGAAATTAAAATTCCCTCAAAAAAGGGCAACACTAATACATTTTTAATTCTGGTAACCTCAAGAAAACATGGCTCGTAGATCACTGCGTCTCATGCAAACAGAATTACAAATTCATGAAAATGTTAATAATTTTTACTGAGGTAGAATTTTTTCCTTTTCAGACTGATAGAAGGTGGGATTTTATAAGGGAGGTTCCAGGAGGGTGTTTAAGTAGATATACTGTAATTTGAATCATAATACGAAAGCCATTATTTATTTTAAGTAGGGAACGAAATGCGTGATTCTTTTTACGTTGGATTTGTTGATAGCGTTTGATGTTAAGTGTGTTAGAAGTTTTGAGGGCCCTCGCATTGTTGAAGTTAGTGGGTCAGGACAAATGTTATTGGAATCTTTGTTTGTGTCTTGAGAGCTTTCTTTATCTATTACGTCGTGCTATTCATCACCATTTAATATTTCTTTGTTGTGTTTTTAAGTACTTTCAATTGGTTTTAGATTTTGATTTGAGTTTTTTTTTTATGGAATACATAACCCGGTAAACGAGCAGACGGATCACCTGATAGTAAGCAATCAGCGTCGCCCATGGACACCTGGAACACCAGAGGCGTTACAAGTGCGTCACCGGCTTTTTGGGGATTAGGAGTTTGAGGATCGTTGGGGATTCAGGGATTGGGGAGATTGGGGAAGGGGAAGGTAATTGGGCCTCCGGTAACCTCACTCACACGACGAAACACAACGTAAGCGTTGCTTCACGTCGGTTTTCTGTATGGCCGTGGTATCACTCCGGTCGAGCCGGCCCATTCGTGCCGAAGCATGGCTCTCCCACACTTAAAGTGCAATTATAATTGCAATTCTAATTACCTAAACTTTGAAAACATGTGTTTACTTTTAAGTGCCGAAGGTGTTCAAAATATGCGTCGTTTTAAATATACTGACACTAAGTTTGTTAAATTGAACACCACCAGTCGCTGAGTGTGCAATTTAGTAATTGCAATTAAGATTCTCTGCCTCGTTGGCCGAGTGGTCGCAAGTGCGACTGCCGGGCAAGGGGTCTCGGGTTCGATTGCCGGGGTAGGCAAATTATTACTGGGTTTTTAAAAATCTCAGTAGTATCACGGAGTCTGGAAATGTGATATATATATACCGGTATATGGCAATAGGCTCACCCCTTATTACATGGGACTCATAACATAAATAGTGAAAAGTGGGTGTTACATTGTACAGTGGCATTAAGTGCCGAAATGTGCACCTCGGCCTACCCCTTTGTAATGTTACATTATGTTATGTTATTCTCGAGATTCTCTGTAACATGTTTTTTTTATTCACATGTTTTTGTTAGGTTGACCTGTAAGTTCCTTACGTGTATGGGCGGCGCGCGCACGTCTGTCACTATTTCTGTTTGAAAGCTATTACAGCCATGGTTCACTGTGCCAAAGCTCATTGCATTCTGGTCCAGGGTTCTCTATATACTAACATGTTTTTATTCGTCATCTATACATTTTTGCTCACCATCCTTTTACTACATCGTTATATTACAAGAGGAATAACTATAAAAATTGATACAACTTTTAATATATAACAAACAACAACAACCAAATCAATATCATCTCCCACGCAGCCAACACCAACTTTTTGCGACCGTCTGATAAATAAGTGCCATCATAACTCCGACCTCCTTCATAGTTCCAACACAACACTCGAACACGTTTCCACAAAAATGCTTCCACATTTTCTTACCCACACGGAACCACCAAATTCTTAGACAAACCATACACCAGAATCAATATCCATCTTCCTATATGTCACGTTCGGCAAACACGAGGCAACATCTAAACGGTCTCGGAGCAAATAAATATTTCAGTGTAGTTTGTATTTACGCGACGTTTGAACAAACAGTCCTTAGAGCCTTCAGACTATGCTGTTATAGTTTTGGAGTAAGACTGCGACCCTCTATGGAGAACTGAATTCTTGATCAAATATTAGAAATTCAGTTTCTTCGTTTCGTTAAGTACCTAAGTGTTTGTCGATGAAAGTGTTTTGGACGATTCAATTATTTTTAGTGGACACACAAATAAGAAACTGCTTTAGTTTAATTGAAATTTCTTATTTGTGCAAATATTTTGAAAGTGCTTTTTGCTTCTATTAGAATGTTTATAATTAGAAACAGTATAACTGAAGAAATATATCAGACAGTTCACAGTTCTTATAGGTCTTTAACATTAATCCTTTTTTTGCAGTAATTGAAACCGGGGACGAGCCAGCAGCATGCAACGGGAGACGGACTTTGGTCCTTGCCAACCACCAGAGCACAGCCGACGTACCCATGTTAATGGCCGCCTGGAATCCAAGACCTGGAATACTGCCCAACCTCATGTGGATCATGGATAGAGTCTTCAAGTTCACCAACTTCGGCATCGTCAGCGTGTTACATGAAGATTTCTTCATACAAGCGGTAAGTGATTTAAATTAACATTTTTTTTTATCTTTGACATGCGTTTGCAGATCGTAAATTGTTAGTACATTATTTTGAATTTGAATCTTAAAATGGTAGTGATAAAATTGAAGATGACTCACCAGTAAAATGTACCACCTGTTAAGAAGAGAATATTAAACAACAAAACAATGACTGAACCATCAAAGAAACAAGAATCTTTATTACACATTTACTGTACCATCTCAATAACTAATTTATATCCTTTCACTTTATGGACGTTTACAACAAAATCACCGGGCCAGGTGTCTCCGTAAAACTAAGCTTTTACATCCAATCGTAAAATCTAATCGTTTGACCCACTTGGGTAACCAGGTCGTGCTGTCAAAGGCCAATATAGCCCTAATTATCGTACACTATAAATTAGTACTGGTCGTCAATCCTGATCGTATCACTGTTACAGTTTTTAATTTGTGTCATCGACTGTATTTGCGTTAATGGATGAGCTATTGTTCTTCGCTGATAACATTTTTGTTGGCATTTATCTTTTGTATAACGAAAAAGTCTTCATTGATTTTATTGTCTGGTGTCTTATACGCCTCAACTTTAGGTTTAGTTTTTGCCGTACCATCATTATCGCAGTCTGTAGCTTATAGCATATCTTTCAATAAGGTTTTTCCTCCCACTCTCATAAAACATAATATTTTATTACGTAATTGCCTTTCATTAAACTTTTCAACCGGTTCATCTATTTAAACTGTTTCACAAGTGTTGGTTAGAATATTCTCTCAAATTCATCTCGCCATCAATTAGGGGGCGCTAATAACCCATCGATAATTAGCTCATCCGGGATCATGTTCCCACGATACACAAATATCCCGGACTAGAGGTGCCATGTGTACCGGGCACAAGATTTAAGGCGTCCCATGTTACGCTCCTTGACGTGGACTTCAAAAATCATCTTTCCGGGATGATGCGCATTTTACCTCTGAGCTTTTAGACTAAGTAAATGTTAAACCTTATTTAAAGTTTGAAAAAGTGGTACAGGTGATTATGTTGACCAACACCTGGGGTACTTACATCGTCACCATCTTTATGTGTACTTTAACACTGTCATATTCATCCATGAAGTCCGTGATCATTTATTATTGCAAAAATATTTTGAAATCAGTTAATAATCTAATTGCAAATATCCATGTCATCCAAATCAACAAGCATTACCTTTTATATTAGTTTAGTAAAGGCTAGTTACACAAACTATAACCACTTACTCGCGTGTAATAGTTCATACAATTACTTGCAAGCCCGTTGTTTGATTGTTATCGCATTAAAAGCACACATTCCGTTTCGTCTCGCAGATCCATTAAACATTCGTGGCATACAGTTAAATGAAGCTCTTTCACTACATACATTATAAATGTACTTTGTTGCGTCTTTGTTATATTAAACAAATCCATGATGGATTTTTTAGATAGTGTTAATTTGAAATAACTGTTTAATTAAGAGATGGGATTGTATCAATATTTTGTTTTGGGTCTTTACGTTCCAATATGGATCAGTCTTCGAAAGTGCAATGTCGGTCATGATCGACACTGCACTTTATCTCTTCAAAACATGTTTTGAAGAGATTTAGAAATCATAAAAGAGATTAGAAGAGAGAGAGAGATTGAGAGAGAGAGAGAGAGAGAGAGAGAGAGAGAAAGCCTAACATAAAAAATAAATTAGGATTATAGTACCCTACTGCGACTACAACTAAGACGATAGCTGTTTTTACTTTTTAGGCGCGCTTTAGTGCCTCTTCCATAGTAAATTCAGAAGTTATCAAATAAAAGGTCAAGCAATTTGAGGATTTGATGGTCTGAATACCTATTACAGTTGAGAATTTGCTACATAATGATGATAAAACCCTGGTACTGAATCAAAAGAAATACACGGAGATGCACATTGGACACAAGATGGCACGCGCATTAAAGATTATAACATCAGGAAGCTGAACCTTTCTTTTTACACACCACATGTTTTTAATGCAATTCATATAAATGTATGCAAATATCACAGCGAATGTCACAAACACATGATTAATTGCGGATAAACAGCAGCTATTTATAGCGCTCGTATTAGCTGGACAGTTTAGTCAGCGCTTTATTTATGAGTTGGACACAATTTGCCCACAATTGGCCGTTACACTGACGTGATTCACTAACTAAAGCCAAGTGTGGGGATGTAATGCGGTTTTCGATTGCCATACGGGTACGATACGATTTTTATTAATAAGTATTGTCTCATTGACGTTGTTTGGCAGATGGGTTACGTGGTAAGGTACATTTGTGTTAAACATTAGTCCAACACTACATTCTTAATTGTTGTCAAGAAGTTAATGCCTATCATGTTCACCTGTCACTAAGTTTGGCGTCATTTGTATTGAAGAGAAACTGGTTGGAAAAATTCTACGGTGGTAGTGGAGTTAATGTTGAACAGTATTCTTTCCTACTTACTTATTTCTTAAAGACTTGTTGGAATATTTAGCAAATGTCTTCTTTTCTTTAAAGTCTATTATGATTTATATTTCATTCTTTTGATTGTTGTTTACAAAATATGTTTTTACTTTTTTTTGTAGTACTAAATTTTCCATGATATATTTACTACACGTTACCTAATCGTGACGACACCGGCACGACTACCAGTCGTCCTGTATAAACAGTAGTCGCAATCATTCATTGTCTTGAAGCTGTCTTTGTTGTCTCGTTGCTACATTTGTCTCTAAATGTTTTAATGCTTTTAACTAACATGTATATCATAATGTATTGTATGTAGTCTTGTATTAACATAGTATTATGTTCCTTTGTTTTCGTAGAATGTATGAAATTATGTCAGTGATGTGCGTTAGTAGTGCAAAATTTGGTTTTTGTTTCAAGTTTAAGCGTTGTTTCCAAATATTCGACTGTTACTACTTTTGATGTATAAATATAGGATCAGTACTTAACGTATAGCTATCTCACGTGAATAAGTTGTAGCATATCGATGCTTGTTTAAGTAGAAAAATAGCCATATTTAATTTTATATTTCGAACTTCGCACTATGTAGCAAACCTTGCTTGATCTATGCGCTATGATTCCACCCAATCGATTCACAAACGATTCACATTTTATTTCGCAACATAAAGGTTCAATCGAAATACACTTTTTCTAAAACAAAAATTCAACGCGTCATCTGGCAAAGTTCTCTCCAAAAACCAGTAACCTCAAACATTAAGATTTACATTTTCGCAGTTAATTATTCAAGGAGGGTTTAAAACGCGCCCGCTGCACTCCCTCTAATCCCGGTTGAGATTACTACGACCTCAGTGACAAACATACAGACAGGGACCTACGATGTACGTGAACGGTTTCAGTAAAGAGGTTATATAGTATTACCTAATATTTCATTGTTTAATAGTATGGTTGTCTGTAGGTGAAGATTGGCAAGGTGATTGTTGGTTTAGAGTTGGATGAGTAAAGCATAAATCGGCTGTCAATATCGAAATTTTCAGTAATCTAGTCTAGTTTTAGTATGGTTGATGATGAATCTAGATTACAGTACAGCTAATCAGCGATGCGTTTGCTTAAGTTAAAGCAATTATGCTTGAAGCTCAACGTTACTGACAATGAACAGTGAACATAGCACTGCAAAGTTCAAGTCCAAAAGTAAATGTTTTATAAAACTCATTAGATTTGCGCTTCGTGCAACTAATATTGGTTGCATTTTTAATCCGTTTATTACCGAACAGGTGACTATAGAAAAACTAGAAAAAGCATTATATCATTCCGTAATCCAGGTGCCAGTAGTAATGAAACCAAAACCACTCAAACAGTTTACTACAGAAAATCAATGTCTTATTAAAAAAACACACAATAAGTGTACGAACGGATGTGACACGTTAATGCCGTACAAAGTTGTTGATGCAGTTGGTTTAGCTTTTATTACGGTGCTACAAAGTCTAGAATTAATTGTAGATTGTGAGCTTGATATTGTTAAGGGACTTGGGAAGTGTGTGGTACAAGTGATAAGAATAATGATTGTAAAGTTTAATGAAACTATTAATTAAGTGACTTTGTATTGTATTGAATGTTGTCTTGTAAAATTCCAAAAGTCATTGGTTTTTTTATAAGATTATGTTTAAGTCATGAACTATTCGTTCAAGGGTTATGAACCGTGACGGCATTATTATTACCAGTTTTATTATCATTGGCGGTATCGTAAAAGCTGAATGAAGAACTACTAACAATATTGACAGAGCTAACGCCACACCATTCTCTCGCCAGCCAACCGTAGATATAATGATCAACCCTCTTAACCAGAAGAGGCCCATTAGTCCAGCGCCAGAATGTCACTATTGATTTTAATAATTCTTTCAAATTTCCGGAAAACCGTATCAAAATCGTTCAGCCAATCGCGAGTTAATCGCGCACCAACATAAATACATACATACATGCAGGTCAAACTGATTACCTCTTTTTTTGAAGTCGGTTCAATAGTTATATGGACATACTTTGCACAAAAAATACGCATTGCCATTCTAATTACTGTCGTGTAATACCATTCTCGCTACCGCTTATAACATGTACTGCGACAGAAAGTATTAAAAACAATGTTGCATACCCCTCCCGAAGCAAGTTTACGACCCCTTCCCCCTTTTATAGACACAACTAATAAACTTGAATCGCCTTGCTACCGGTCACGAGACAATTTTAAAACGATATAAATGCATCCGTACACCCATACACTTACAACCTTATAGAATTCCATTATGGAATATACCATAATGAGTGTCCAGTATTGAGTTTTAATGATTTTATGCTTGTACAAAGGTTCCCTGTGATGTGTGGTGTTGAATTTCAAAGATCATGGGTATTCATGGATTGGCGCGTGCCCATATTGTGTCATTATGTATTTGTAAATGTGATATAATTGTAATACCTGATTTTGTTGCCAAGGTGATATTTTTGACCTGTGATTAGATCTTTCCAGGTTGTAAAAACAAA